CAAGATTATGGAAATTAAGAATTGAAAAGTAGGAAACAACTGTCTAGTGAGCACAAAACTCATAATGACCGTAAATACTTGTCCATAATGCATAGTTAGCATAAATACTTGTCCACAACTCATAATTACCATAAATATTTGTCCACAACTCATAATTACCATAAATATTTGTCCATATGTAGTAACCGGCACACGAACAATACTTTCTCGATTCTGAAAAAGTTTTTAGTACTGTTTTTAATGACATTAAAATCTGAAACAGATCCAAATAAATAATTAATGCCTTACCAACAATTGGAAACAGTGCTCTTCTATGTCTTTTATTTTCTCTTCAGTTTCCTAAAAAAAAAAAAAAAAATTATCTATATAAAACATTTTAATGTTTATTTATCAACTTTAAGAATATGGACTCATGTTTTATTTATAAGTAAAAGCGAACATATTTTTTTCCAATAAAAGCTTTACTGTTCCTTGTCTGCTTGAAAAGGTGGATTTTTGAGAAACAAATAAATATACAGTTTTATTAGCATGCATCAGCAAAAAATATCACTTCTCATACCTTAAAGCGCTCCCATTTCACACCATTGTTGTATGTGTACCGTACTAACAATTTGATAAGCTTTCTGACCACTATTCAGTAATATTCTAATCCTCTGAATTCCGTTTAAAAAAAAGAATTAAAATCAATAAATTATCTTTGAATATTGTCTTTGGGTATAAGGGTTGATTTTTTAAGTGAGGGTATTCACAGTAAATTAGGCTTCCTGTGTTTCTTCTCATCTTTGCCAAAATATTTTAGACAATCTATCCACTTTCAGTTAGTTTTAGAATCGGGTTATGATTATGGAAATTAAGAATTGTCAAGTAGAAAACAACTGTCTAGTGAGCACAAAACTCATAATTACCATAAATACTTGTCCATAATCCATAGTTGTCCATTAACCATAAATATTTGTCCATAACCCTTAGTCCATGACTATTTGTCTAAAACTAGTAGCTTTACTTGTTTGTTCTCATATTATACAATTGTTTTAATTTATACACAAATTGTAATTTGTGATTTTACAATACAAGTTTCCTCTTTTTTGTTCTGTCAATGAGAGTGATAGAAATTATTATTATAGTAAAGTTTGATTACATGTGAAATATTTTATTTTCAATTTTGTATTAAGTTGGATTGTTTTCATACATGTACAATAAAAAAAAAATGTTTTTTGTAATAGAATTGTTATTATTGATTAAAAAGAATAAATAAATGTTATTAAAACCAAACTGTCAAGCTTTTTAATCGTTAACCTTGTAGCATAAAATCAGTTTGCTGAGCAGCTGGGTTTTTTTTTAGGGGGTGCTGCATGTGTGATGTCTTGGTGCTTGACTAGCAGAACAGGGTACCTTTCACCACTACTGTTTTAAGAAAGCCACCTTTACACGTGGCCGGTACTAGGCCACAAGAAATTTCTAGAAATTGACCCATTTACATTACTCTACAATAACCGGTCTCGGAACCATGCCAGGCATGCCAAATTTGAAACTCTTCCCAGAAAAGTTTATTTCAGTCCCTATGCAAATTACCCGGATGAAAACAATTGTGGCGTTTGAATTAGATTGGGCAGCCATTTTATGTATTCGCCCCTCCCAACCGCCCACAAAATGTTGAATATTGCAACATGGTCTTATCTATCTCTGTGCCACGCTGAATGCCAGATTTTGGGTCAGTATGCAGAAATGAAATGTCGGCAAGATATTCCCATTCACACCTCTCTGGTATGTTTCAGGAGGTGTCCCCCAGCCAATTGACGAAAATTAGACACATTTTCCTGCTAATTCAGACCCTGAAAGGTTTCCAATATAGCCTTATTTGTATGGTTTTACAACCCAAATCCCACACAATGCCAATCTGAACTACAATTAATCATAAGAGAAATTAAATTTCAGGTCCTGAAAAATTGATTAAACATTAATGATAATGCCCGAAAACTGTCATTCAATGCAGAGTGGCTCCAGAAAAATTGCTTGTATTTATTACCCTCCCCCGTGGAATGAAACTGGTCAGACACCCAGAATTATTTGTTTATTTCATCAGCATGTGTTATATACTATTCAAAAAAAGTAGGGGATATTTGATTTTTAAGTGTTATTAAAGTCACCTAATGAAACTGACGAAGAAACAAATGACAAAATGAAATGAAGTTCACATTCATCGATTTATTCCAAATGATCGTTAGACTAAGTAAGGCACAGACTGACCATTATAAGGGTAAAATGATACCCGGGGTCAAACAGCAAAGTTACAACAGCATCACAACCAAGTCAGTAACGGGTAAATCCTCCTCTGTTTGCCAAACAAGCATTGATCCGACGTGGCATACTCCTAATGAGACGTCTAAGGTCATTTTGGTCCAGATTGTCCCATTCCTGTTGCAACGCAGCAGCAAGTTCTTGGACATTGGCAGGACGTTGCTGACGTTGACGTAACCTCTGTCCAAGCATGTCCCAGACATGCTCGATGGGGGAGAGGTCGGGACTCAGTGCTGGCCAAGGTAATGTGGTGATGTTCTGTTGTTGGAGGTAACCTGTAACGATCCTGGCCCTGTGACATCTTGCGTTGTCATCCTGGAAGGTGAAACGGCGGCCATGACGTCGTGCAAACGGCACAACATGGACTGCCAAGATGTCCCGGTAGTACTGGCCTGTAACACGCCCTGCAACAACATGTAAAGCCGTTCTTCCAGCAACAGTGATGCCTCCCCACACCATAACAGAACCACCCCCAAATCGATCATGTCTGATGACGTTAACGTCTTGGAAGCGCTCGTTTCGACGACGCCACACCCTCCTACGTCTGTCCAAAAAATCAACAGTGAACCTTGACTCATCTGAAAACATCACATTGCTCCAGCGTCGATTATCCCAGTGTTGACGATCCCTACACCAACGACGTCTTGCCTGAATGTGATGATCTCTCAAACAAGGGATCACGCGAGGACGTCGGGCGCGAAGGTGACCCCTATGCAGTCGATTCCGAATCGTCTGGCCACTCACTCTCACACCAGTGTCTGTTTGAAGACGAGCGCTGATCTGATTTGCTGTGATGACACGATTTCTCAAGGCCAAGGTACGGATAAATCGATCCTGGGCTTGAGTTGTCGCCCTTGGTCGACCTGAGCGTGGTCTGTCCTGTACAGATTGTGTATCACGGTATCTGGACCATAGCCTGCTTATGACAGACTGAGAAACATTCATCGTCCGCGCCACAACCGCCTGTGTTGTGCCGATCTGTAGCATGCCAAGGGCACGTAACCTTTCATTTTGGGTAAGCCGATGCATATCAAAATTTGTTTTCTTGGCACTGAAACAATTAAACTGATGTTTCCACCCTGGAATTCAATGCCACAATGACTGTAACATTCAAAGTCAGAGTCGTGCAAATCTTGGGTTAGACCCCCATGATGATCCCAAGCATCACCTGCATTCCATGCGGTAGCTATTGGTGCGTTTGGGCGTCACATGTAACTGGAAATGTTTCTTCTGTTAGGTTCTATAGTGACTTTTTTCGTAGTCATTTGCATATTTTAGTATTATGCCCCCAAAATCAAATATCCCCTACTTTTTTTGAATAGTATATAAAGGACCAGCATGTGTTATATAAAGGACCAGATAGCAGTGAATAAGATTCTGTCCCACCCAGGTTTGATCCTGATGTTGGCCGAGAAAGTTCCTCGGGATATTCTGGTCAGGTTTCCCCTTGTGGTGCAAGACCGAGGGCCTGGCAAGGAGAGGAGAGAAATGGGGTTTAACGTCCACTCAATACAAACCAGGGCATTTCGGGACTAACATATTGTTCAATTTTTTATTTCATTAAATCGCTTGTGCGTAGGGGTCTTTAGCAGTCAGAGGACCCAGAAAAAACCCATGAGGTTGGGCAGGCGACCCTACTCCTTGTCACTTAACAACCAGGGAATCGAAACCACGCCAGTTCAATGATTTGAGAATGGAGAAGTGAGAATAAGACTCGATTGACTGTAAGATTTAGATAAAGAGCTAGCCATTCTTGCTATAATAGTTCGAAAATAGATAATGTAAAATGAATAATTTGAAAATTTCATTCAAATTACTCTATTGCGAGCGAAGATATTAGCCTTTGAAAGTTTTACAAGAAGCGTAATAATTTCAACCACCGTAGGCCTACTGGTTGTTCGAAGCTAAGTCATGTCCTCCATTTTTAGATTAAATCAAAATATGGCTGAACCATTCTAATCTATTTAATATCGGAGAAATTCGATGCCATCGAGAGTTGATTATGGCCTGGATCAGTTAATTAATGTCTAATTAATAATTTAGATAACATTTCAGGCCTAAAGAAAGACCTGCAATAGGCAGATTAAGCTCTTGCATAATGTAGGCTATGTTTAAAGCGGAAATTGCAAATTTTCTAAGAAAGTCAAAAAATAATTATTTCTATGTCTTTTACTCAATAGGTTGTCAACTCAAAATTATACGATCATAGGTGTCATTCATTTACACAGGAAATAATAACACAATTACCTCCCTTGTTTTCTATTCTCCACCATGGAGTAGCGATATTCAAATGTTTGAAAATGAAGAGGAAAATGATATTTTTGCCAATTTCTCAGCTGGCAATAGTAAATTATAGGATTAATAGGATTATTCTTTAACAAGGTAGGACTGTTTATGGATACCATCTATTTTCAGGCTTTATTTTAATAAATTTTAAAAATATAACTTAAAAATTTGCAATTTCCGCTTTAAGATCACCTACACACATCTTGTCAAAACTACAACCAGCTCTATTTAAATCTTACATATAATGCCTCTTTAAACAGGATTGCATACATCTAACAACACAAAATAACAAATACATGTAAGATTCAATTAAACTTCCTAAACCTAAAAAAATTTTATAACTGAAATCACCATTTAGTGAAGTCTGTCTTTACAGTAAATTCGTTTCGTTTATATTTCGGCGGTTAGTACTAAATTTTAGTTTGCCACAATATGGCAACGAAGAGATCGAGAACTTAAAATATTAGACCAAACAGAGCTCCCATAAAAACTGGCTACAATTCAATTGAAGACAAATTATCGCCAGATACGTACGTTATTACACAGCAGAGTTCGTACGTAAAATAGTTTATTGTTCATGGCAGTTACACAACCAAACATTCAACATAGAAATTGCAGCTCTTATTAATAAGTCGGCAATCTTCGGCAGACCAGTATGGAAGGTGAACCGTATGTAATTTGTTTGGACATACGTCCTACGTAAAAATATTTTTTCGAAACATACCAAGAAAGCCTTGCGATAAAATCGACATTTAAATTATCAAGTCTTATGTGTGTAATAGTCATTCTGACATTGAATAACAATTCACCCATCTTCGGCATATTGAAATTGAACGGTGAGGCAAGTGTAGTTCTCTTTCGAAATAAAGTCTTATCAAAGTGTCAAACAAAATATTTTTTCTAAATATTCTAAAATGTCTTGCGAAAAAATCAGCATAGAAATTATCAAGACGTATTTGTGTAATTTTCATTCTTTTATAAAACAATACCAAGTTCTAATAAATGCTCATGCAATTAATTTTTTAACTCACGAACATTGGAATTTGATACCAGATGAAATGCAGAAGGAATTATTGTCATTAACTGACGAAGAACTCAAACTGCTCCCAGAGGTGACAGAATTTTTAGAGAGCAGGGAAAGAGTTGTTGAAAATAATATAACCAAGAATGACTATTTAGAAAAACTATCCTGTTGTTTAGAACATGAGGATGTTTCGTCCACCGAAAGAGATTCAACTGAAGTCCCATGTAAATGTTCAGACACTCAGATTCCAGTCGATAAAAGTCTCACTGAATTCTTACAATCCATACAAGGCCACAGATTAGAAGCATTAAATGTAGTGACATCTTTAGACGAGCTTGAACACAAGTTAAATATTTTCCCAATTAATCGAAACACGAACACTGATGGGAATGAATCCATGAATAGTGCGGGGAGATTGAGTGCTGGAAATGAATTCATGAATAGTGCGGGGAGATTGAGTACTGGAAATGAATTTATGAACAAAAAGAAATCACACGAGATTGAGATTATGTCCAGCATATGTTCAGGACTTCATGATAAATATAAAACCGATTTGGTTGTTGATATTGGAAGCGGTAAGGGTTATTTGGGAACTCACTTGGCTTCATATCACAATATTTTAGTTGTGGGAATTGATTCCTCTTCTGGAAATACAAGTGGTGCCAAGAAAAGGTCAAAACTCATGCAAAAACACCAGAAGATTTTCTCAAAAACGTCATTTCAGGGCGAGTTTCAAGTAGTTCAACAGAAGCAGTCTTCAGATCAGGGTAAATTGGGAACTCGAGAAGGTAGGCAACATAGGGTATCTGAAGTTGAGGGCCAGGACAGAGAGTCTCCTGTTCAAAAGGAGTCTCAAATTGGCAATGTGTCGTCAGTTCAGGGGGAATCTGAAGTCACCAGACAACAGAACAGGTTCCCAGATCAACAAAATGATTTGTCAGAGACTGGAGATAATGAACTAATCCAAAAGGAACCTCCAGTGACAAGCCTAAGAGATTCTCCACTGCTGAAGATGGAGTCATCAGTACTTATATCGACAGAAGATGCAGAACCAGACCAGAGAGAAGATCCAGCATCAACTGGTGGTGATTTAATGGAACCAGGTCAGAGAGAACCTCCAGTAGATTTACACATTTCAATAGAAGGTGTGTCAACTGATGATGTTTCATCTCAACCAGACCAGAGAGAACCTCTAGTACATTTAAAGTCAACTGATCGCGTTTCAACTCAACCAGACCAGAGAGAACCTCCAGTAGATTTACAGTCAACAGATGGTGTTTTATCTCAACCAAACCAGAGAGAACCTCCAGTAGATTTACAGTCAACAGATGGTGTTTTATCTCAACCAAACCAGAGAGAACCTCCAGTAGATTTACAGTCAACAGATGGTGTTTTATCTCAACCAAACCAGAGAGAACCTCCAGTAGATTTACAGTCAACAGATGGTGTTTCAACTAAAATATATAACTTGGACCAATCTGGGGATATTGAGAAATTTTCTATGTTAAATATAGATGAAGGGGCTGTGGGCAAAACAAATGTCAATTTTAGCTCATTGACTAAGAATAAAAAACCTGGTAAAGGCAAACATAAAGATTCTGGAAAAAGAGTTTTGAATTATTTCCCACAAACATTTTACATCGATAAATCTACTGAATTATGGGATGTGATTCGTACATCGTTACCTGAAAATATATCAGATGCAACTGGTCTCCATGTTGATGACAAACTTTCGCACAAAGTCCCCAACATTCTTTTAACTGGATTGCATACATGTGGAGATCTAGCATCCAATATTGTTAAGATTTTTTTGAAAGAAAAGTCAGTTCGTGTCTTATGTTATGTAGGATGTTGTTATCATTTAATGAAGGAACAATTTCTTGAATTTTCGGATCTCCATCAACGGAATCAAGACTCTTCCGAATATTCGGATTTCCATCAAAGGAACCAAGACTCTTCTGAAACTTCTGATCTGAATCAACGGAACCAAAATGTTTCCTTAGCTTCAGATTCACATCAACAGAACCAATACTCTTCTGAATCTTCTAATCTTCATCAACGGAATCAAAAATCTTCCAAATCTTCTGTATCCCATGAAAGTAACCAAGACTCTTCCGAATTCGGTTTCCCACTTAGTGATACCCTTATTAAAAACAAATGTTTTCTTGGTAGAACTGCTTTAAATTTGGCCGTCCAATCTCCATGTAGAATCAAGAAACAGGATTCTGAACTACAAGGAAGAACTTTCTTTAAAAGAGCTTTATTACAAAAAATAGTCTGTGATTTGTTTGGGGAAGACACCAAAGTTGGGGGGTTGAGAAATGTTGATAAAAATTGTGCAACATTTAGTGATTATGTAAGGAAAGCATTCGTCAAACTCGGATTTCCAACCAAAAATTTAAGTGAAGAACTTTTATCAAATTATTTTGACAAGTATAACAAAGAGGAGAAAAAATTGGCAGCATTTTTTCAACTGCGAGCTGCCTTGGCTCCATGCATAGAAACTCTAATTTTACTGGATCGATTTGCCTTTCTGTTGGAACAGGACATGTTAGAAAATGTTTTTTTAGTGCGTTTATTTGATGCGGAAGTGTCACCGAGGTGTTACGGATTTGTAGCTATAAAGAAATAAAAACAAAATGGAGAAAATGTTCCAATAGTCCACTTTTGTTTTGTTTGGGTTTTTTTAAAAATATATTTTGTGATTGTCTGCCCTAGACTATTCCTTTTGGAGCAGTTTCGGGACGGATGGAGTTCTATAACCGTTGATATCAATCCTTAATAAATTGCAATATGACAATACAAGTCTCGTAATGACAATACAACTTAAACATATTGTGTTTATGTTTTTGAATAGCGAAATAAAATGAAATGGGGTTTAACGTTCTACTGTTTTGCTCCTATTCCTAACGGGGCTAATGAAGATGGGCATACGCCATACAGTGTGCTATGAGGGAAATTTTGCTTGGACAGTGGCACTACAACCTACTCTTATATCAAATTCCAAATTTCAAGGGATCTTTTACGTGCACGCCAATGTGTACACAGAAACTCGTTTTTTCAGATCATGAAGTGAGAAATGATTCCTTTTGTTGAAATAAGAAAAATACAGTGAAAAATAGAAGGTAAAGGCCCGAAAATAGCCTTAAAACAGGTAAGTGGAGCAATATTTTCATATAGCAACTTTTAAATAAGCGTGGACAGGAATGACAGGACTGCTCTAAAAGGAACTGGCTCTAGACGGTGCATACAAAATGTTATATACTATTCAAAAAAAAGTAGGGGATATTTGATTTTGGGGGCATAATACTAAAATATGCAAATGACTACGAAAAAAGTCACTATAGAACCTAACAGAAGAAACATTTCCAGTTACATGTGACGCCCAAACGCACCAATAGCTACCGCATGGAATGCAGGTGATGCTTGGGATCATCATGGGGGTCCAACCCAAGATTTGCACGACTCTGACTTTGAATGTTACAGTCATTGTGGCATTGAATTCCAGGGTGGAAACATCAGTTTAATTGTTTTAGTGACCAGAAAACAAATTTTGATATGCGTCGGCTTACCCAAAATGAAAGGTTACGTGCCCTTGGCATGCTACAGATCGGCACAACACAGGCGGTTGTGGCGCGGACGATGAATGTTTCTCAGTCTGTCATAAGCAGGCTATGGTCCAGATAACGTGATACACAATCTGTACAGGACAGACCACGCTCAGGTCGACCAAGGGCGACAACTCAAGCCCAGGATCGATTTCTCCGTACCTTGGCCTTGAGAAATCGTGTCATCACAGCAAATCAGATCAGCGCTCGTCTTCAAACAGACACTGGTGTGAGAGTGAGTGGCCAGACGATTCGGAATCGACTGCATAGGGGTCACCTTCGCGCCCGACGTCCTCGCGTGATCCCTTGTTTGAGAGATCATCACATTCAGGCAAGACGTCGTTGGTGTAGGGATCGTCAACACTGGGATAATCGACGCTGGAGCAATGTGATGTTTTCAGATGAGTCAAGGTTCACTGTTGATTTTTTGGACAGACGTAGGAGGGTGTGGCGTCGTCGAAACGAGCGCTTCCAAGACGTTAACGTCATCAGACATGATCGATTTGGGGGTGGTTCTGTTATGGTGTGGGGAGGCATCACTGTTGCTGGAAGAACGGCTTTACATGTTGTTGCAGGGCGTGTTACAGGCCAGTACTACCGGGACAACATCTTGGCAGTCCATGTTGTGCCGTTCGCACGACGTCATGGCCGCCGTTTCATCTTCCAGGATGACAACGCAAGATGTCACAGGGCCAGGATCGTTACAGGTTACCTCCAACAACAGAACATCACCACATTACCTTGGCCAGCACTGAGTCCCGACCTCTCCCCCATCGAGCATGTCTGGGACATGCTTGGACAGAGGTTACGTCAACGTCAACAACGTCCTGCCAATGTCCAAGAACTTGCTGCTGCGTTGCAACAGGAATGGGACAATCTGGACCAAAATGACCTTAGACGTCTCATTAGGAGTATGCCACGTCGGATCAATGCTTGTTTGGCAAACAGAGGAGGATTTACCCGTTACTGACTTGGTTGTGATGCTGTGGTAACTTTGCTGTTTGACCCCGGGTATCATTTTACCCTTATAATGGTCAGTCTGTGGCTTACTTAGTCTAACGATCATTTGGAATAAATCGATGAATGTGAACTTCATTTCATTTTGTCATTTGTTTCTTCGTCAGTTTCATTAGGTGACTTTAATAACACTTACAAATCAAATATCCCCTACTTTTTTTGAATAGTATATGATAGAGAGATTCAATGAAAAGCGTATTCATTTTGCCAATTTCTTCGGGTGCCTCGGTAAGTTTTGTCCTGGCTTTAACCGGGTTTTGCAAAGTGTCGAGTCGTTCGGATGGAATGCAAAAAATGATATTTCCCAAGCGAAACATACAGGTTTTCAGTTAAAATATCCTTAAGGAAAGATGGACTTTTGTTCTCCCATTGTCGCATCGGAATTAGCAGTCTTTAGCAGTGGGAAGCAACCGGAGGACCTGGAGAAAACCCACGAGGTTGGACAGGCGACCTTACTCCTTGTCACGTACACACAATGGTGGAGTTCTTAAGAAGAGAGATGCAAAAGTAGCCAGTCCCAAGTCTAACAAACCAACCCCTAGACAATCGGGCCAAAATAAAGATACGAGGCAGCGGTAGTGCTACAGGAGAGGGGTCATATATATGGGACGTTTCGATCCGATTTTCGCAAAATTCAAACTCCCTATTTTTGATAAAAATATATTTGGACAGTTTTTTTAAGATTAAAATAAAAATTGTGACATCAATAGGGTCCAGAAGCACAAAAAGTGATTTTTCGTACAATCAGGGGTTATAATCCATGCAGTAACGGTCCAATACATGCCAAAATCGAAATGAGATAAGGCCTCTTTAATATACCAAAATGAAATGAAATGAAATGGGGTTTAAAGCCCTACTGTTCTGCTCCGAACTGGGATAATGAAAACGGGCATACGACATAGTGTGCTATGAGGGAAGTTTTGCCCGGACAGCGGTACTACGGCCTACTCGTATATCAAATTCTATCTGTCAAGGGATGTTGTACACGCACGCCGATGTACATGGGACCTTGGTTCCTCGAGAGTGTCCACAAACAAAGGTAAACGGACTGACAGACCGGGGCGACGGCATAATACGTCCACGTGAAAATGTGGGCGTATATTACATGAAGTGTGACAGGAGATCTATGGGTAACAATATCAAAACAACAACATTATATTATTTTATTTTAATATGACTAGGTCTATTAAATATCTCTGCCTATACAATATATAATACACAAATATACAAAATAACTTGGGTAAAAATACTAAAAACATTCAGCAGATGGTAGACATGGTTGACCCCTTTACATTACCCTACAATAACTGGTTTCTGAACCGTGCCAGGCACGCCAAATGTGGAACTCTTCACAGAAGAGTTAATTTCAGTCCCTATGCAAATTACTGGGATGAAAACAATTATTGCATTTGATTTAGTTTGGGAAGCCATTTGACAGAACTGTCAATGTTTGTGGGGGGGATAAAGGTCAAGGTTCATTAAGCGCATGCGCAGTAATCCGTACTGAGTACTGTTCTCAGACCGGATAGCGTTTACACCAATGACGTATATATACGTCATTGGTTTACGCTACGAAAATTTAACCATGTCATGTCTGGCAACGTGCGGAGACCACCTTACTTCAGTGGGCCTAATCGGCATGGTACTCAGTACGGCAGGCTTATGTTTGACCGGTTTACACTACAAAAAAGTACCCGTGCACACTTAAAATTTGTAATGTAAACGGGTTTAATGTTATGGTTTTATCTCTATGACATATATATATATATATATATATATATAATTTAGGTAAGGTAGTGATGGCGAGTCTGGCAATGAACAGCTTCTAGTCAGTTAATATCAATTTACCAGTATATTCTTGTAAATGTAACTGGGTAGAAATCAAGAGCTAAATATATCAATATACAAATATGCACAAACATGGACAGTTAGGTTAAATATCTTATTGTCCTTATTGACTTAATAAACAAACACATACATGAATATATAATACAGGTCATCCAGCAGCTACCCCCTTAATGTAACAAGCGGTTGCCATGCAAGATACGCCCACATTTTGCAAGAGATGGACAGAGAACAAGCTCAAAAAAAGAAGTGATTTTTTCGTACAATCAAGGGCCATAATTCAGGAAGTTACAATCCGATATGCATGAATATTGAAAGGAACCAAGATCTTTGTGTTATAAATATGTATTTCAAGTTTCATCAAAATCGGATCAAAACTGTGACCTCTATAGGGTCCACAACCATATTTTTATGCTATTTGAGAACGAACGGCGGCCATTTTGTCGGTCAATTTTGGGCCAATTTTCACAAAATTTGAAGTCAGTCATCCTTAGGGTGTAACGGTGACATAATAATACGTTTTTTTAAATCGGATAAAAATTATGACTTCTATAGGGTCCACAAGCTAAAAACGTGATTTTTCTTACAACGTGATTTTTCTTACAATCAGGGGCCATAATTCAGGAAGTTACTGTCCGATATGCGCAAATATCGAAAGGAACTGAGATCTTTGGGTTATAAACTTACATTTCAAGTTTCAACAAAATCGGATAAAAATTGTGACCTCCTAAGGGTCCACAAGCTAAAAACGTGATTTTTCGTACAAACAGGGGCCATAATCCATGAAGTTTCGATCCGGTACATGCCAATATCGAAAGCAGCCGAGATCTTTTGGGGATAAACCTATATTTCAAGTTTCGTCGAAATCGGATAAGAATTGTGACCGGACGGACAGGGGCGACGGCATAATACGTCCACATGAAAATGTGGGCGTATAAAAATAGGTCCTACTTTTCTTTAACATCGGGACCAATGAAGACGGGCACATGCCATACAGTGTGCTATGAGGGCAATTTTGCCCAGACAGTGGCAATAATTTCCGAATTATTGAATTCCAACTGTCAATGGTTCTTGTCCGTCTTCATTAGCCCAGTCAGGGGATTGGATGGCTGAATGGTTAGCGTGCGCGTGCTGTATCATAAAGTCTGTCATTGAGTCGACTGGCGTGGTTTCGAATCCCCGGTTGTACGTGGCAAGGAGTAGGGTCGCCTGTCCAACCTCTTGGGTTTTCTCCGGGTCCTCCGGTTTCCTCCCACTGCTAAAGACCCCTACTCGCAAGCGAATTATGTAAATAAAATTTAACCATATGTTAGTCCCGAAATGACCTAGTTTGTGTCGAGTGGACGTTAAACCCCATTTCTCTCTCTCTCTCATTAGCCCAGTCAGAGCAGGAGGATGTAAAACCCCTTATATATTTTATTTCATTTTGTTTACATATACCTGGAACAATTATACTTTTATTAGATATATTGATACGGTCATCAGATGACCTAATATTAGTTTGAGACATTTATCACCCGGAGTTTAAAATAATGAAAATTATATTATGAGAGAGAGAGCTGGGGTTTAACGTCCACTCAACACAAACTAGGTCCTTTTGAGACTAACATATGGTTTATTTATTTTTTTTATAATTTCAATAATTCACTTGCGCGTAGGAGTCTTTAGCAGTGGGAGGAAACCAGAGGACCCGAGGACAACCAACGAGATTGGACAGGCGACCCTACTCCTTGTCATGTACAACCGGATAATCAAAACCACGTTAGTTCACTCAATGACAGGCTTTATGATACAGCGTGCACATGCTAACCATTTGGTCATCCAAACCCTCTATATTAGGAGCAAGATAGACATAAGCATGTAGATTAAAATCTTACAAATATAAAAACATGGGGAATTAATTCATGAGCAATATAGACATTAGAATGTAGATTAAAACCCTACATATATAAAACATGGGGAATTAATTTATGAGCACAACAGATTAAAACCCTATATCAGGGTCGTAACTAGCTCTGAGCAACGAGGGGGGCAGGAAGTGTTGGCACATACAACCGTGGAATCAAAACCATGCCAGTTGACTCAATGACGCCCTAACCAATCGGCCATCCAACCCTCCCCATTTATTAAATATTTTCATTTTCAGATAATTCCTTTACCACTTAAAAAGGGCTGCATATGACTTATTTTTATTTTAAAAATACCACACCGCACACACTAATGTTTTACCCTGGTTACAGGAATTAAATCAGTAAAAACTTTGAATAAATCCAGAAATACACATCCATGATAAATGTTACTGGACAATCATAAATCATACTGGATAATCATGACATAAATATAGTCCCTTGAACCTTGAAATGTGATGCTTATGAACTTTGACAAAATAAAAACACGAAATAAAAACCATCCTCCCGCATCAAATTTTAGGTAAGTATTGTCTGAGACCCAATGTAATTTCGGGACTAACACATGGTTCAATTTTATTTCAATAATTCGCTTGCGCATAGGGGTCTTTAGCAGTGGGAGGAAACCGGAGGACCTGGAGAAAACCCATGAGGCTGGACAGGCGACCCTACTGCTTGTCACGTACAATCTACCAAAATGACCAAATCAGTACGTTGCCATCAGTGAACATATCCCTGATCTGATTTTCATCATACCATTTTTGTCTCAACTCAAATCTCGACAAATAAACGAGACATTCCAGAAAGCATGGTAGTTCATGATCACCCTACAAGTTTTTGATTATAACCAGATTTTCAGCTTTGCTTACAGTTTGATGTGGTTGGTTAAACAAGACTAGTATCATCTCTTCATGATTGGTTAAAATTCAAGTATGATATATTTCCAGCCAATCAGATAGCTTTAGTCTATTTTCTTGGTTAAATGGCTTCGTTTAATACATTTATAGGAAATGAAATGTCCTACTGTTTTGCTCTGAAGGGCATACACCATACAGTGTGCTATGAGGGAAATTTTGCCTGAGCAGCGGAGCAATGACCTATTCGTATATCGAATTCCTACTGCCAAGGGATTTTTTACGTGCACGCCAATGCATACACAGAACCTCGGTTTTCCGTCTCATCCGAACAACTAGATAGCTGTTCTTGTCAGACCCTCCATCCTGCACCACTGACAAGGGGAAACCACGCCAGAAAAACATTTATAGGAATATATAGTAACCCTATATAGATTACATTCTATATGTTAAACTTTAAATATGGTAACACTTCAAGAGTTTTACGTAATATCAGATGTAGATGAGCATCATATAAATATCATTATGTCATAAATGAAAGTAAAAATAAAAGTAGAGCAAACATTACAATGAACAAATTTCATCTGGTATTCTAAGAAGAATACGGGTAAAATACAGGTAGATACAGGTCAATACAAGCAGATACACGTAAATACAAGTAAATACAGGTTAATGCAAGTAGATACAGGTAGATACAAGTACATGTACATACAGGTAAATACAGGTAAATTTCTTACCTCATGCACAACACCTGTTGTACTAAAACATTTATTACATGAATTTGAATGAATTTTATATAAATAATTACAACAATAACAAAATATACAAAGGGACGGAATTGATGGAGTTGACGTTAAATCTTAGATGTGTTTCAGGTGTTCATCTGTTGTCCACTAGTTACATCTTGGTCTTCCAGGTGGAACCCACTGCTAGTTTTCAAGCACTTGGTAAAGATGGGTTACTACAGTCATTTTACTGGATAATCAAGACACTATATATGCTAATCAAGGTGAAGGCCTTTGTGGTATTGGCACAAATTTTCTTTAAAGATAATCTGACATTTTGGTTTAGTTGAGAGAAATTCAATTCTCCTACATGGCACTGATGGTTGTATTTTATCCAGTATGGCGGTTTACTCATCTAGAAGAAAGCCTTATATTTTTCAGCAATTAAACTTAGAAATTCTCTGTGGTTGCCCCAGAATGGTATTGATGATTTGGGTATAATCCACGCTGCCATATCAACCGATTTATCACCTGCCTGTAAAATATAAATTATTCTCTTGTTGAAATCAAATAAAATGGGGTTTAACATGGTCCTAAATTTCTACAACACCAACTGGTCTAATGAAGACAGGCATACCCCATGTAGTGTGCTATGAGAGAGATTTTAACATCCACTAGACACAAACTAGGTCATTTTGGGACTAACATATGGTTCAATTTTATTTTAATAATTCGCTTGTGCATAGGGGTCTTTAGCAGTGGGAAGAAACCGGAAGACCCAGAGAAAATCCATGAGGTTGGACAGGCGATGCTACTCCTTGTCATGTACAACTGGGCAATCAAAACCACACCAGATGACGCTACCCATTTGGCCATCCATCCCCCCAACCACCCCTGACATTTAATGCTTTCATTTTGTTAGCTGTTGCCAAGGCATCACACCAACCAACACCAACCTTACTGTCCAAAATCTTGATGACAGGGACTATGCCAGTTGGAGTGACACAGTCTTGATGTCAAGGACTATCTAACTACAAGCCCCTCCCAATCCTCTTTCCCTACGACCAGAGGAAATGAAATGGGGTTTAACGTCCTACTTCGACTGGGTTAATGAAGACGGGCATACGCCATGCTGTGCGTTATGAGAGAAATTTTGACCGGACAGCGGCACTATGACCTACTCTTGTATCGAATTCCAACTGCCAAGGGATCTTTTACATGCATGTCAGTATGTACATATACTTCAAGCACCTTTATTTATTTTTCTAATGCTTTAAAAAAATGTTCTAGAATTTAATTTGCAGAACTGATGTCATCCCTATCAGTGATTGTAGCAGCCTTGCAAATATTCACTGCTGATCAGTGTGCTATAGTGCATGTAAGAAAGTTATTATACACGTTGGTCGAAGACCTAGATCTTGAGGCTCCAATTCCAAGTAGTTTAGAGAAACTTTAACCTGAGTAACGGCTGACTTTAAACCTTGCTAGACACAGTTTTAGTTAAGTGAGAGTTATCTTACCATAATTTTAAGATTATCGACAATAGATCCATCATCGTCATGGAAATTAATTAAACGAGATTCTGTCCAGGCATTATCAGTATTACGTCTGTCATCAGCATAACCCTCAAATAACTGGAAATAAACAAATTATATAGAGACACAGAGAGAGAAAGAGAGAGAGAAATGGGGTTTAACGTCCACTCGACACATACCAGGTCATTTCGGGACTAACATATGATTCAATTCTATTTCGATAATTTGCTTGTGCTTAGGGACTTTAGCAGGGGGATGATACCAGAGGACCCACAGAAAGCCCACGAGGTTGGGCAGGCGACACTACCCCTTGTCCCTACAACCGGGGTATAACAGTGCCTCGGCTCATGCTTTTGGGACTAACATATGCATGGTTCAATCTTACTTCAATAATTGTCTTGTGAGTAGGGGTCTTCAGCATTGAGAGGAAACTAGAGGACCAGCAGAAAACCAATGAAATGAAATGGGGTTTAACGTCCTACTGTTTTGCTCCGAGCTGGGCTAATGAGAGAGAGAGAGAGAATGGGGTTTAACGTCCACTCGACACAAACTAGGTCATTTCGGGACTAACATATGGTTTAATTTTATTTCAATAATTCGCTTGCGCGTAGGGGTCTTTAGCAGTGGGAGGAAACCGGAGGACCCGGAGAAAACCCACGAGGTTGTACAGGCGACCCTACTCCTTGTCACGTACAACCGGGGATTCGAAACCACGCCAGTTGACTCAATGACAGGCTTTATGATACAGCACGCACGTGCTAACCATTCGGCCATCCAACCCCCCCTGGGTTAATGAAGACGGGCATACGCCATACAGTGTGCTATGAGAGAAATTTTGCCCGAATAGCTGCACTATGGCCTACTCTTATATCGAATTCCAATTGTCAAGGGATCTTTAACGTGCACGCCAATGTGCACACGGGACCTCAGTTTTTCGTCCCATCCGAACAACAAGACAGCTGTCCTTGTCAGGCCCTCCGTCCTGCATCACTGACATGGGGGAACTACGGCGGAAAATCTGGATGAACTTTCTCGGCCAATGCAGGGATCGAACACCCAACCTCCAGGCTAGCGAGCCAGCGTCTTACCCACTGTGATCCCCCACTCAATGACAGACCTTATGATCTAAAGTGTACACATTAGACCGTTTCAACCACTCCACCACTCCCTTCTATTAAGACCCCTTTTATCTGATTAAAATACTGATCTATATTTCGTTTCATTTTTTTTTTATACTTTCGAAGATCTGACCGTTTGTAGTAAAAGGTTGGTCAGAGGTCGTACAAATAGCTTTTGATCAATCAGCAGAGATGTTTTTAGTGGTTTAGTCGACATAGCAGATGGTTTCATTGGTTATTCCCTCACATCATCCAGAACGCAGGTTATATAACAACTCTTCCAGATCCTAGTGTAGTCAAGACAAATAAAACGAAATTTTGAACTATAAAAAAACGAAACGAAATAGGATCTGTGTTTTAATCAGATTGTATTAAGACACACAACAAACAAATTAAGTCATTAAACGTACCACTTGTCCTTTGGTTGCTAATCTGTGTAAAAGTTCTTCAATTACTTTCTTTTCTTCAACCGACTTCATCGAATATCCCAGCGCTTCATCGGCAAAAACTTTTATTAGAGAATCATACATGTTGATTTGTGGACTTGCAAACCCCTGGGAGAAAAAAATTATCAATGAGATCATTATTATAGGTACGTCAAACGAAAAAAAAGGACCGGCCCACATCCATATGATTCCTTAAAGTGGTTAAAATGGGTCGAAAATAAAATTGTTGACTTCACTGGAAACAAAATGAAATGAAGGTTTAAAGTTCTACTGTTCTGCTCTGATTGGGCTAATGAAGACGGGCATACGCAATACAGTGTGCTCTGAGAGAAATTTTGCCTGGGCAGCAGCACTATCGCCTACTCTTATACTTATATTGAATTACAACTTCCAAGGGATCTTTTACGTGCACACCAATGTGTACACATGACCTCTGTTTTTTTTTATCCCATCAGAACGACTTAATAAGAAAAAGTGAGAGAGAGAATGAGAGAGAGAGAGAGAGAGAGAATGAGAGAGAGAGAGAGAGAGAGAGAGAGGAGGAAATGAAATGAAATGGGGTTTAACGTCCTACTGTTCTGCTCCTATACTGGGCTAATGAAGACGGGCATACGCCATACAGTGTGCTATGAGGGAAATTTTGCCCGGGCAGCGGCACTATCGCCTACTCTTATATCGAATTCCAACTGCCAATGGATCTTTTACGTGCATTCTAATGTATACACGGGACCTCGGTTTTTCGTCTCATCCGAAGGACTAGACAGCTGTCCTTGTCAGACCCTCTGTTCTGCACCACTGACAAGGGGAAACCACGTCGGAAAATCCAGATGAACTTTCTCGGCCAATGCAGGGATCGAACACCCGACCTCCAGGCTAGCGAGCCAGCGTCTTAACCACCTAGCCACCGTGGCTCCGAGAGAGAGGAGGATACCATTAGATTCTATATGATTTGTTTTGTGTGAGGACAATCTGTCTTGAACATTTTACAGCCATGATTGCGATATAGATGGGTTTTTTTGTGTTCCACCCTCGACACAGTATGCATGTCCAGCATCAACCCGTTTGAAGGCCAAAAATTAAACTAGAATAAATGATTCAAAATGTTTTTAATGTTTTAAAAAATTATTTCTAATCATTTAATGTTATCACTAATAGAAATAAAATTTCAAAGGGTCCAATTTCAACATTTTGTTTTAACGTAAATCCAGATGGTTTAGCTCCTTTAACATCACAATCATCTGTATTCTCACATTTAAACAAGAGCCCACTCAACACAAACTAGGTCATTTCGAGACTAACATATGGTTCAATTTTATTTCAATAATTCGCTTGTGCGTAGGGGTCTTTAGCAGTGGGAGGAAACCGGAGGACCTGGAGAAAACCCACGAGGTTGGACAGACGACCCTACTCCTTGTAACGTACAACCGGGGAATCAAAACCATGCCAGTTGACTAAATGACAAGCCTTATGATATAACGCACGTGCATTAACCATTTGGCCATCCAACCACCTGCTAAATGTTTACAAGGTTATAGGTTAATATACAACAGATATATATAGGTCAACATGTATACAGGTCAATATGTATATAGGTCAACATGTATATATAGGTTTAACATGCATTATGTAAGAACTAAATTATGCCTATTGCAGGTCTTTCTTTAGGCCTGAAATGTTATGTATCTTATTAACTAAGACATTTATTAAACATACAGTATGCAAGAGCTAAATCTGCCTATTGCAGGTCTTTCTTTAGGCCTGAAATGTTTTCTAAATTACTAATTAGACATTAAATAACTTATCCAGAAAATAATCAACTCTTGATGCCAATGGATTCTTGCAATATTTTCCAGATTTTAATACATTTTGTGAAGGATAGTTTAACGTAAAAATGGATAATCGAGACTTTGTTATCATAACCACGTCAGTAAGGACGACCAAGACTAGCCTAAATTTCAATGGCTAATATCTCGGTTCAGAGAGAAGCAATTTGATAGAAATTTTCAGCATATTTTGTTTTCATCATTCTTTTTTTTAACTATTATAGTGAGAACTGTCAGCTCTTTATCTAATCTTACCCAATACCTCTTTTAATATACCAAAATGAAATGGGGTTTAACGTCACACAGCATGCTATGAAGGACATTTTATCCGGACACCTACACTACCGTCGAATTCCAACTGCCAAGGGATCTTTACGTGCATGTCAAAGTGTACACAGGATTTCAATATTTCGTCCCATCCAAACGACTATCAATCGTCCCTTTCCATGCACTCTGGCCTGCGTAATTGACAAGGGGAAACCGTGACAGAAAATCCCAATGAACTTTCTCCGCCAATGCAGGGATCGAGAGAGAGAGAAATGGGGTTTAACGTCCACTCAACACAAACTAGGTCATTTCGGGACTAACATATGGTTTAATTTTATTTCAATAATTCGCTTGCACATAGGGTTCTTTAGCAGTGGGAGGAAATCGGAGGACCCGGAGAAAACCAACGAGGTTGGACAGGCGACCCTACTTCTTGTCACGTACAACCGGGGAATCAAAACCACACCAGTTGACTCAATGACAGACTTTATGGTACAGCGCACACGTGCTAACCATTCAGCCATCCACCCACCCTGCAGGGATCGAACATGCGATCTCCAGACTAGCGATCCAATATCTTACCCTCTGAACCACCATGGCTCCCAGTTAATATACAACAACGGTGTGCTATGATGCGAAAGTTTGCCCTGACAGCGATGTTCCTGCTTAGTCTTTGTTCAATTCCAACTAAAAATGTGTACATCAATTTATATGTGAAACGATTTATCGGCCCATCTGAATGACTGGACGCCACCAGACCCATCCTCTTCGTAACCACTGACAAGTGGGACCCACCGCGCCCGCCAACCCCCATGTTACTGAAGCAACGACTGCGAGTTTGACAACATCTTGACGTTGCTAGATTACTTCACAATTCCCAGAGGTTGTGTCATTGTGATCTCCACGGAAACCTTGACATTGAACGAACCTTGAATTTTGCAACTTGATTATCCTTGGTAGAAATTTTAGCTTGAAAGCGCGAGACTTGGTTTTCGCAACAATCAAGGAATCTTATAGGCTCACAAGCTTGGCTTGTACCCAATCGAAATTAGTGCCGAAATAGGCCGAGTATTGTGAAGGCCTTGATAAGATGTACGTAGTTAAAGCGAGATTAAGCCTTCTATTGAAGATAGCCAACCCCTAGGTTAGAGTTGACAGATCTTGAACCTAAGCTCCATGACAAAAATCTTGATGCACTTTCTCGGCCAAAACATGGATTGAACCCGACACTCCTTGGTTAGTAAGCCAGGGCCTTACTTCCAAACAAGGCCCAGGATTTAAACAACAATGAAACTGATTAGAAAATTTAAACAACAAAGGTTAATGGTTAACAAAAACTGTAAGTGTTATCGTGTGTTCCGACTACATATAATCTAAAAAAATACATGCAATATTTAAACATCAATTTTACCTCTCTCAGAAAATCCTAAAATCAAATTTAACGAAACAGTAAAATTTGTATGTCAATTTAATCTCATATTTTTTTTTATAGAACATCCCAAAAAAACATACACTTTGCCGATAGATAATTTAAATTGAATTGAACAGATTTGAATTTTATACTCTCAATACCATGAGTAGTGAAGTAATCTTGCTGACATTACATCAGTTATTAGGACCAACAAAACTGAAATTGGTGTCAATTCTTGTTATTCTAAACTAACACGACAGAGAGCTATGGGGTTTAACGTCCACTCGACACAAACTAGGTCATTTCAGGACTAACATATGCTTCTGTTATTACAATAATTCGCTTGTGCATAGGGGTCTTTAGCAGTAGGAGGAAACCGGAGGACCCGCAGAACAACCACGAGGCTGGACAGGCGACCCTACTACTTGTCACGTACAACTGGGGAATCAAAACCATGCCAGTTGACTCAATGACAGACTTTATGATTCAATGTGCACGCGCTAACCATTTGGCCAGCCAACCCCCTTCTGAACTTACAAATGAGCTCAAATAAAAATTGTGTCAAGTAAGCCTGTGTTGAAACAGTTTTCACGAATCCACATCCAAGCAACCCTAATCATGGTCAAATAGGCACGACAAACGGGGAATCAAAACTACGCCACTTGACTCAATGACAGCCCTTATGATTCAACACGCACATGCTAACCATTCAGCAATCCAACCCCCCGTATAAAAGGTATGAAGTCAAAAGAACTTACTCCGGGTATAGCCCACTGTTTGGAACTATCGGAACGTCTGATGGCAATGAATTCTAACAATGGCCGACCATCTTCCTCATCCACATGTCCATCTTCATCTTTCTTCCATCTTTAAAAAAAAAAGAAAAATAATTATAAAATAAATTAACAGACATTATATATAAGAAATGAAATGTGGTTTACCAGCTAGAAAGTCATTCCATTATCGCTGACCGTACAAACTATCAACTTTATCACCAAATGATTTTAACTTAGTTGCTGGTATAGAGAGAGAGAAAGAGAAATGGGGTTTAAAGTCCACGCGACACAAACTAGGTCATTTCGGGACTAACTTATGGTTCCATTTTATTTCAATAATTCGCTTGTGCATAGGGGTCTTTAGCAGTGGGAGGAAACTGGAGGACCCAGAGAAAACCCACGAGGTTGGACAGGCGACCCTAATCCTTGTCACGTACAACCGGGGATTCGAAACCACGCCAGTCGACTCAATGACAGACTTTATGATACAGCGCGCGCACGCTAACCATTCAGCCATCCAACCCCCCAAGATACGAAGGAGCTGAATCACACTAAGACTGATAGACCAAAGATAAGATTTGAAATTTGATCCAGGCCTCTAACGAGATCCCAGCCGTCTGACCTACCTACTAACAACACAATCAATAGTGTAATTCGGTCCCCATCTTCCTAAATCACCTCGACCAATCAGACCTGTTCGTCCACGCGGATTTAACGGCACACCATTTTTAACTTCGTAGTCGTGACCACACAAACTACGTCTATCACATTTAAAGTTTTCATCATATGCATTGAACTGGAACTTCTGAATTTCTTCTACAGAACTGGAAAAACAAATAAGGACATTTTCATAAGTGAAAAGTTAATCGAGAGAGAGAGAGAGAGAGAGAGAGAGAGAGAGAGAGTTTGACCTCCACTTGACACAAAGTAGATCATTTCCAGACTAACATATTGTTCAAGTCTTTAGCAGTGGGAAGAAACCGGAGGACCATGAGAAAAACCACGAGATTGGACAGGCGACCCTACTCCTTGTCACCTTCAAGAAGGGATTCGAAGCCACACTACTTGATTCAATGACAGACCTTATGATACAACATGCATAGTTGCATACTTAAAGTAGCTAAGTCTCTAAATCAATATCATCCAAAATCTTCAACATTGAAAACACGATTTATTTGTCAAATTAAATCAACATTCATGTTGTGATCTTACCGGAAAAGGATGGGCTTTTGATATCCAATATTTAAGACAAAATAAACATTTTACCATTGGTACACGAATCGTGTACCATAATGCGCTTCAGCCCCAGTTGTATCAAGAGACTCGAGGGACAAGGCTAGACACATTATTACAATCCTTACAAGGATTAAGGCTAGACACATTGCACCAAATCAAACGGCGTATGTAGACTCGAATAACCAGACGCTAGAAATTTGCACTCGCTTGAGACTGCTGGCTTATTTCGCCGAACATAACTGATTTGAAATTGGAGTAAAAACGGAAACCATTGAATGTAAATCAGTTTATATACATTCATATTACAGTATTATATGCGTTGCGACCCACTTTTGTCAATTTCTAGGTCCCAAATGTTAGCGATTTAGCTCCTTTAACCATCCCTCCCCCCCCCCCCACTTATAAATGAAAAAGCAATTAATATAGTTATTCTTAAAGAAGCATTACCAGTATAATGTAAGAACCAAGCCTGTTGCGGGTCTTTTTTTCTGGCTTCAAATTTTATATTTGCCGTCTCCTCTCCCACCCCTAACCCTCCACCCTAAATTCATAACCTGTAAAAAATGCGACTCTGTATAAAAATACAACTTACACTTCTAAAAGATCCACTGTATCAGCGTAAGGCTTTGTGTTGGTTAATATTTTAGGATGTGTATACTTCGGCGGATTGTAGAACGGAACTTTGATCTTAAATAATAGTGAAAAAATTGCATTTATAATTTATTATAAAAATAATAAAAACAAATATTGAAACGGTTTCCCACTAATTGCTTGATAAGGAATTTGAAGGATTCTTCTCATCCAAGGAAACCAGGACATTCTAGTCTAGTGACTAGTCCTTCAGATAAGGCAAAAAAAGCAGTCCTGTGTACACACTGGTGTGCACATAAAAGAACCCTTGATAGTTGGAGATGATATGGAGTAGGCCGTAGCACCATTGTCCAGGTCAAATTTTACTCACAGCACAATACATGGCGTATGCCCGTCTTCATTAGCCCAGTCGGTACAGAAAAGTACGACATTAATAAATATATTACCACATTTCCATGTGGGCGTATAGAAAGTATACACTCCACTTATATAATTTCCACCCATCAAACATCACCATGTTTAAAGGACGATATCAATTTACCACCTATATGGACTACAACACTTCATTCATCTTGTGACGATATCACAATAGTTTACATTTATATAATCAACTTATCACCCATAACACATGACCATATTTAAATGTAAATGACGATATTACAATTGTTAACATATATAATCAACTTACCACCCATAACACATGACCATCTTTAAATGTAAATGACAATATCACAATAGTTAACATATATAATCAACTTACCACCCATAACACATGACCATCTTTAAATGTAAATGAAGATATTACAATAGTTAACATATATAATCAACTTACCACCCATAACACATGACCATCTTTAAATGTAACTTACAATACCATAATAGTTAACATATATAATCACGTCAGGAGTCAAAAGACCGACGTATGACCCTATGAAGTCCGACATTTGATTAACCAATCAGCATTGATGTTACTAGTGGATTACCCACAGTTCCGTGAAAAACACGTATATAGCTTGCCGTAACAGACCGTTTCATTGGCTTATCCATGACATCATTCAGAACACGAGTTAAATAACAACTCTTCCAGATCCAAGTGTAGTAAAGACAAGTAAAACGAAATTTTGAACTATTAAAACGAAACGAAATAGGATCTGTGTTTTAACCAGATTGACGATATCACAATGTATACAAAACACTTACCACCTACAAAACATGACCATCTTTAAACGTAACTTACAATATCACAATAGTTAACATATATAATCAACTTACCGCCCATAAGACTTCATCATCATTTAATTGTGTTCTCTGTATTCCAGTGTCACAATATTTAGAGTTTCGACATGTAACATGAAGTTTAAAATTATCAGTAAAAAAATGTCTCAACTGAGCATTTCTCAATTCTTTTTTACGTTTACGGCGAAGTTCTGAAAAAGAAAAAAAAAACTGTCATGAAATGAAAGTGGCTGAATTTTTCAGACAATATATTTCCCATGGCTTAAACATACATTATGGATAATCGAGACTATGTTTTTTATCGTACCGACTTTATTAATGATGATTGAGGCCTTCAATCGCTAATTTCTCGGTTCAGAGTGGATCAATTTGACTGAAACTTTCATCTTAATATTATCTAATTTTTAACAATTATAGTGAGAACTGCCAGCTCTTTATCTAATCTCCTAAAATGCCCCTTTAATCCAATAGTTCTCAAATTTAACATTTGACATTTAAGAAAATAAAATCAGAAAACCAATGTTTATATCAGTCAGATCTGCAAAGCTAGGATGCTGAATGTTGTGAAATTTGTAAAAACTGAGCAGAATTGAACATCTTTTGGACTGATATTCTTTGCAGATAATAACAAAAATCCTTCATATGACCATCAGAGACTTCAAATAACTTTTAAAATACATTTGTTTAAAAATTACATTATGTAAGATTTAGATAAAGAGCTGACCATTCTTACTATAATATTTCGAAAATAGATAATGTAAAATGAATTTATTGAAAATTTCATTCATTTACTTCATTACGAGCGAAGAATATTAGCTTTTGAATGTTTGACAAGATGTGTGCATTAATTGCAACCACTGCACTGGTTGTTCGAAGCTTAGCCTTGCTTCACCATTTTTAGATTAAATCAAAATACGGCTGAACCGTTCTAATCTACTATAATCGGAGATATTATATGATACCGAGAGTTGATTATGGTCTGGATGGGTTAATTAAGGTCTAATTAATAATTTACATAACATTTCAGGCCTAAAGAAAGACCTGCAATAGCCAGATTTAGCTCTTGCATAATGTACAGTATATTTAACAATTAATTACAAGTACACATGTTGCTAAGATGAGAATTATATCAAAAAGCAGCGATAGAATTCATGTTGTTTTAGTTGTAAATTGAAAAGAGAGGAGACACACACAAAATAGGTCATTTCGAGACTAACATGAGTAACATGGTTTAATGGTCTTTCAATCAATTGCTTGCACGTAGGTGTCTTTAGCAGTGGGAGGAAACCGAAGGACTCAGAGAAAATCCACAAGGATGAACATGCAACCCTACTCCTTGTTACACACAAGTGGGGAATCGAAACCACTCCACTTAACACAATGACAGACCTTATGATGCAATGAGCATGTGTTAACCATTCAGCCATCCAACCCCCCTTGCTAAGTGTTGCAAATTGAAGCCAGAAACAAAAAGTTTAAACTTTGCACCAAATAGCAATGCTTTTAAATTACCGGTATAAGTATTTTGATTGCTCCTATGTTTTACTGTAAGTCGAAGAATTAAATTTCTTCTTTCTGTCGACGCATGCTTAAATCTCTAGTATTTAAATTAAATTAAGATCTCACTCACCTTTCTCCAGGAATTTTTCAGCATCACATAATTGAGGTCGAGGTTTTTCCGCTGCCAGTTTATTATCTTCTAAAGATGACATAATCCAATCTAAAGCTTTGTATGTGCTCGCCATCTGATACAGAAAATAAAAATAAATGAATTAAAATTTAAACATACATTATGCAAGTGCTAAATCTACCTATTGTAGGTCTTTCATTAGGCTTGAAATGTTATCAAAATTATTAATTAGAGATTTATTAACATGAAAAGACCTTAGTCAACTCTCGATGGCATCGCTAGCCTGCGATCTTTAGTGGATTATGATCCGATTTACTTCATAACTTTCCTTCACGATTTAATGATTAAATGGATAATCGAGACTATGATTTTTGTCGTACCGACTTTAGTAATGATTATCAAGGCTAGGCGGAAGTTTCAATCGCTTAGTTCTCGGTTCATAGTGGATCAATTTGACTGAAATTTTCAGCAAATCGCCTTTACATTATCTAGTTTTTAACTATTACAGTGAGAACTGCCAACTCGTTACCGAATCTCCCATAATGTATCTTTAATGTCTTCCTTTTGGTCATCAACTGAGCTAATAAAAACAGGCACATGCCTTGCTATGAGATAAATGTTCTCGCTATAGCATACTCTTATTTTGAATTCCAATCGTGAATGGAATCTTTATTAATGATATGCAAGGGACTTTCAGTTTCAATCTGACTAAAATACAGATCTATATTTTGTTTCTTTTTTTTATACTTTCGATGGCCTACACTAAATGAAGATCTGACCAGTTATAGTGGAAGGTCACGTTAGAGGTCATAAGAGCAGCTTTTGTTCCTATGACGTCAGACATTTGATTAACCAATCAGCGTTGATGTTTCTAGTGGTTTACCCACATTTCCGTACATCGTATGCCAAGAACTCACTGTAACAGACCGTTTCATTGGCTAATCCCTCACTTCAACCAGAACGCTGTTAATATAACAACTGTGTTTTAATCAGATTGCATGTTATATAAAATTATATCAACCTGTTGTTCCACAAGCTGTACCCTGTTGTCTAGTGGACTCGATTGCTGCTCACCATCTTGATATTCAACAGCCCTTGAACTCATATTCTCCAATCTAAATAAAACCAAACAGAAATTTTCTTTAATATTTTATTTGTCAACACTTCCAATTTGTTTGTGACCGATATACGTTAACTTTAATTTTCTGATGTATAGAGTTTCTCCCTGCCATAGTTTTATAGAAAGAGAGAAATGGGGTTTAACGTCCACTCAACGCAAACTAGGTCATTTCGGGACTAACACATGGTTCAATTTTATTTCAATAATTCGCTTGCGTAAGGGTCTTTAGCTGTGGGAGGAAACCGGAGGACCCAGAGAAAACGACAGACCTTATGATACAGCGCGCATGCGCTAACCATTCAGCCATCCAACCACCCTCCATAGTTTTATTATTAATGTACGAACCTTTCTAGTATAGTTTTATAACAATGGGGTTTAACGTACTACTCTAAACTGGGCTAATGAAGACGGGCATACGGCCTACTCTTATATCGAATTCCAACTGTCAAGGGATCTTTTGAGTGCATGTCAATGTGTACATGGGACCTCAGTTTTTCATCCCATCCGAACGACTAGCCAGCTGTTCTTGTCAGGCCCTCCGTCCTGCATCACTGACAAGGGTGAACCACGCCATAAAATCTGGATGAACTTTCTCAACCAATGCAGGGATCGAACACATGTTCAAGATGGAGATATGGTGTACTGGCTAAAGACTTGTGAGGCTGACCTTAAAAATATCTTATAAATATATTTATCGACCCATCCAAGTCAGGCCCTCCATCCTGCATCACTGACAAGAGGGAACCATGCCGGAAAATCTGGATGAACTTTCTCAGCCAAAGTTTTATAACGATGTACAAACCTTTCTAGTATAGTTTTATAACGATGTACAAACCTTTCTAGTAAGGTTTTATAACGATGTACAAACCTTTCTAATATAGTTATATAACGATGTACGAACCTTTCTAGTATAGTTTTATAACGTTGATGTATAGAATCAACAGAGTCGCGTTTATTTGCGTTACAATAATTCTCTGCTATAACATTCTCCCATTGGACTATCTGTCTCTCTTCTTGTTTACTGTCATATTTCTTTCCTGAACAAATCAAATTATTTTTATCAATTAAAGATGCATTGTCTAACTAAGATTCAGTTAAAGGGCTGATAGTTCTCACTATAATAGTTCAAAAATAGATAATATAAAACAAATTTATTGAAAATTTCAACAAGTGTTGGAAGATGTAGCGCAGCAACCGCGGTACTGGACAAACAAGACTAAGTCTTGATAACACATTTTACCGTTAATTTTTCAAATTTTGCTGGCGTTCTTAACCATTTATATCTCTGTCATCCATGGATCTAGAGAGTTGATTTTTGGCATGTAATGTTAATAAATGTCTAAATAATAGATAATATAACATTTGAAGCTAAAATAAAGACCAGCAATAGGCAGATTTAGCCCTAATGTATCATTTATTTCTTTTTTCATAGATTTAACATTTTCATTATCTTAAAGAAAAAGCCAACAGCGAGGCTGATTTCCCCCGCGGAAATCCCCAAATAAATAGATGACACATATTAATTAATCGCACATCATTTTTTTTCAAAAGTATCGAGCAATTAAACTGATTATCGACTATACACTAAGTTTCATCACTCTCTATCAGATAGAATCAAAGTTATCTTGTCCCAAACCATCGACCAAAGAAATTGCTTATCTCTGCTTAGCTTTAGCTCGATATGTTAAACATTGAACTCAAGTCAAGACGAACATCTACATCAAGTTTAAACAGTCTACCTCAATTAGAAGCAGAGTTGTTATGTTCCAAGGTCTTGACCAATCAAAATGCTTATTGCTCCTTAGCCTAAGCAGACAATTCTCATCATCGAACTTAGTCATGGTATTGATGTAATGAATTATACACCAAGTTTCATCACTCTCACTTAATTAGAACTAAAGTTATCGTGTCCCAAAGCTTCAACCAATCAAATTGCTTATCTCTACTTAACATAAGCAGAAAATGCTCAATATCGAACTTAGTCAAGGTATTGATGTAATGAAACTATACACCAAGTTTCATCACTCTCACTTAATTGGAACTAAAGTTATCGTGTCCCAAAGCATCAACCAATCAAATTGCTTATCTCTACTTACCCTAAGCAGAAAATGCTCATCTTCACACTCCATCAAGGCATTGACCTAATAAACACCTACACCATGTTTGAACATTTTAGCTCAATTAGAAGGGGAGTTATTGTGTTCCAAAGTCTCGGCCAATCAAATTGCTTATTGCTCTTCTTACCCTGAGCAGAAAATGCTCATTATCGAACTTAGTCAAGGAATTGATGTAATGAAACTATACTCCAAGTTTCATCACTCTCACTTAATTAGAACTAAAGTTATCATGTCCCAAAGCATCAACCAATCAAATTGCTTATCTCTGCTTTCTCTAAGCAGAAAATGCTCATCTTCGAACTCCATCAAGGCATTGACCTAATCAACACATACACCAAGTTTGAACATTCTAGCCCAATTAGGAAGGAGAGTTATTGTGTCCCAAAAAGTGCGACGGACGGACAGACAGACAGACGGACGAACCCATTTTAATAGTCCTCTGCTTTCTTCGAAAGGCCGAGGACAAAAAATGACCAAGATTGATGGGTGCATATTTTTGTAGACCACAGTCTATTTTATTCTATAATAGATGAAATGTAGATGGTTTTTAACTACAAATTAACCTTGTAAAATAATTTATTATGACCAATAAAGTAATGCACTTATATAACCACTGTAAACCAGGTATCATTTAATCTTGTGTATTTAGCACTAATTTCTTTCACATTCGTTCAATATCAAACCTAGCGAGTATCATAGGCGTACGGGGAAATATTTTACTGGGGGGGGGCCGTGGTGGTTGGTGCCCCAAAAATGTAGTTAGGTTCTTAGTATGTTACATAATAATCATAATATCTCTTTTGCGATGAATAAGTTCTTAATTTCTAAATCATCAATAAAAGAGAACTAAATTTTATTTACTTGTAATATACACAACTAAAAACAGTTGTTTATGTAACTGTAATTTGTGGCTTACTGTACTCCAAACAATAGAGGGTTCGAGTCTTAAGATTTCTATTTAATTGCCTAACTATAGACACTCTGAATTTAAATTCGCTGTAAATTGGACGCATTCAAGAACACAATATTTTTTTATACAACTTTTACAAAGTACAATTGTGTGCCCAAATTTTCCCAGCATTTGGTGCCTAAAATGGGGGGGCTGCCGCCCCCCCCCCCCCCCAGCTCGTAAGCCAATGGCGAGTATATCAATAGAATTGAAATGAAATGGGAATTAACGTTCTACTTTTCTGCACCGACTGGGCTAATGAAGACTGATTATTCAAAAAAAAACTTTGTCCAAAATTCTTCATATATTTTTCAATATCCACATTGGTATAAATGTACTTCTCACAAAAAGTTTCTTTAAAAAACAAAATGTAAAACTTACTAAAATCTGATCCTTTTTTCGTTGTTTTACAACATTGCCCTTTAAGAACTTTATATAACAAGTAGACATGCACAATTATAATAGCGGGAGGAGGTAGGAAGGGTCGGGAATAATATTCGTGGACAAGTTGATAGCGTTGAAAATACCAATGGAGATCAGTGTTGTCTTGTATTTTCTGGAAAGTGTAGCTGTTTTAAGAAAATAAAAAGACAAATGACGAAAAAAAACAAAAAAACACAGAGATATAAATATGGGTAATCTTGTTAAATTAAAATCAATATTAAGGTGATTAAGTCTGCATACTCGAGGCCGCGAAATTCTAAAGGGGGCATCATTCTAGAACAGAAGGCTATGGACAACGAATATCGATATGGATCAGCCTCTCATGACCACAATGCTTCACACCAAATTTGAAAGAAATTTCTCATGAACTGTAGTCTTTATCACGTTCTCAAGCCAATTGCTAACTGACTGACCTAAAGATAGTTTACAATCTTGCAATAACAAGAGGCAATAACTCGACAAGTCCCAAAAACTGTGATCTGCAGAGTATTTACAAGGATTATGAACGAACAAACAGATGTGATGACTGGGTGAAATATCGGCGGGGTGACAATCAGCTGGGCGTATAATAAAACGGTAATTGTGATTTTAATTTAACAAGACGTAATTTAAAGATCCTTTATATATTTTTCAATATGGCAGGTTTCTAAGCTTCTAAGATATGTAATTAAAAACTAATATATAGAAGCTATAAATGAAATGAAATGGGGTTAAACGTCCTATTGTTCTGCTCAGACAGGTATAGAAGCTATAGATACAGGTATTATAATCTCTATAAACATCTTTTATATACGTCATGCTTCACTTATCTAGCAACAATACAACTAATGGCATGACAGTGACAACAAGCAGAATGTCATGTCATGATAGCAACACACAGATAATGACATGTCATGACAGCAACACAAGTATAATGACATGTCATGACAGTGACACAAGCAGAATGACATGGCATGACATGACAACAACACAACATTAATCTAGCATAATATAATAGCAACATTAGAAGTTATTTAACAAAATAACCGCCCCATCACATGCAGTAAGCATCCAAATCAATCTAATATAACATAACACATTGAAAGTTAGTATTTTCATTTCTTAGAAGTCATTGCTTGATAATGACTAGAGAAGCCTAGTCGAAATGTTGCCCAGTGATAAGCAGTAATTGTATTCCATAGAATTGGGACCTGTATTTCTTAGAAGTTACCGGTAAATATTCTTATCTGTTAAATTTAGTATTTTCATTTCTTAGAAGGAAGAACGTGGCACAACAAGTAGCTTATGACAATAATTCAATAATTTCTTTGCTGGAAGTTAGATTTACTTTTAGGCCAAGAAACACAAACAGGTAGGCGTTTATTCAATCTGGTGTGGATGTGAGGATGAGTTATTGTGTCAAATAAGATACAAAATGTCAGCAAAAAAAACCCGCAATGACAACATAGAAACAGGGAATTATATCTAATGGGTGACATAGGTGACAACAACTTATATAGTGGTGACAACTTCAATGGGTGACGACAACATCAATATGGGTGACGACAACAATATGGGTGATGACAACATAAATATGGGTGACAACATTAATGTGAAACTTACGAAAACCGTGTGACGATATCGATGGTGGTTGATGATGATAGAGTTTTAAAATGTATTCTATTATATACTTGATGTGCAGGACTATGGTGAAGGGGGGTGGAAATGGCGGCCGTGTACTATATTCCATGACAACCTGAAGATTAGCGAACCTCCAGATACTGTCGGTGTTTTGATGAAGTTGTTCGAATGTGTAACTGTAATGACGATGAGTGAAGGAGTTAGTTAAGTGACATCAAATAAAATGAAA